GAAATAGGATATGTTGCACACCAGGGTTCAGGTGTGGAGTTTTTCCACTTCAGTCCTCAATTATTGGTCAATGCCACACATGGTCGATTCATGTTTTTGTGCTTAGGGGTTTAGATTCAGTGGTCGATGGTAGGTATATGCACTCATAGTGTACATGTATCCTACGTGTTTGATTGCTGGTGGCTACATCAGCTGTATGTCTTGATGAAACATATCTAGGCTCACCCATATATGTACCCATCTATGTACAATTCCCCCATGTCAGCCCACCCATCTATGTATTATCCCCCATGTCGGCCCACCCATCTATGTAATACATCCTATGTTGGCCCACCCATCTATATAATACATCCTACGTCGGCCCACCCGTCTATATAATTATACCCCACCTCGGCCCACCTGTCTATGTAATAGATATTTTATCACACCCTCGGCCCACCCGTGTATTTGATATCCCTTTTGTCAGCTTACCCGTATATGTAATACTTTCCACGTCGGCCCACCTGTATATGTAATACACCCCACGTCAGCCCACCCATCTATGTAATATCCCCCTACCTCAGCCCACCCATATATGTAATACACCCCCATTGGCCTGCCCGTCTATATAACAATATTTGCCTTACATCTCTCTTCAGCCCAGCTGTCTATAATATCCTACTCTACATATTACCCAGATGGGCCCACCCATCTCCATGAATGATCATATTCCCCTGGCCCATCTGTCAACATCAAGGATATATATATCATTGGCATACATGGGCCCACCTGTCTCCATCGGAAAGAATATGTGTCCTGGCCCATCCATCATCATCGAGAATATACACAACATGGGCCCATAATCCGCTGGCCCATCTCATACGGGATATTATGTAGGTCGGGTGGCCTGTATAATACGAAATTTGTCACTGAAGGGGCTCGACAACGCACCAGCCAATGACCTTTGTTGGATGAATCTGCAGCACAGATTAGCGTGCAGGACCAACAATCAGTACTGTGTGAATCTACCGCACAAGTAAGCACACAGGACCAGCCACCGGCGCTGGGCGGGTCTACCCAACCAGCACTGCGCGAATCTACAGTGCGGCGGACGGTAGCACCCACAGAGAGTGGACGGCCAGAGACGTCCAAGGAGTTTGCCAGGAGGCTGCGGGATCGTTTCATTCTACATGGGCTGGGCGAACGAAAGAAGGGGGGGGAGGAAGGTGACACTCACCTCCCTATACAACCGGCACAGCCAACATTGGACAACGATGAGGAACAGTTTACACCGCTAGCCCAGTTACCATGGATGGAGCTGGACGACGAAACTCTGTCAGAGATCAGAGGTCAGTATTACCAGGACCCATTCTTCCAGAAAGTAATGAACTCACCAAAGCAATTCCGCAACTTCGACGTTGCGGAAGGGCTTGTCCGCATCCAGCTAAACGACAGAACACTGATGTGCATACCGGACATCAAGGTTGACGGTTGAAGACTGCAGGAGAATATAATCAGTCAAGCACACATATTGCTGGCCCATTTGGGTGCACAAAAGACACTCACATACATAAGAGACCGCGTCTGATGGAAGACGATAGTACATGATGTGCATGCCTTTTGTGAGTCCTGTGCGACATGCCAAACGAGTAAGTCCAGCAACCAGCAACCATATGGGTTGCTGAGACCCTTACCTGTGCCTTCCCAACCATGGGAAGCGATGGGTGTTGACTTTCTGGGGCCGTTACCCTTGTCCAAGGACAGAGACGGCGAATACGACTCAATAACTGTGATAATCGATCTCTTTAGTGGGATGGTACATCTGGTACCGAGCAGAATTACTTACACGGCTAAAGAAGTGGCTGAATTAGTCTTCACCGAGGGTATAAGCACCACGGTGTACCGAAGTACATAGTCAGCGATAGGGATGTGCTGTTCACCAGCGCATTCTGGACCAATTTTAATAAGTTAATTGGTGCCAAGCTCAAAATGTCAAGCACTTACCACCCGGAAACGGACGCATCCACTGAACGCGCCAATAGGACTGTAGTCCAAATGCTAAGAGCCTGCATAGCACCTAATCAACGGGACTGGGTGCCCAGACTGCCAGCTATCGAGTTTGCCATCAACATTGTGAGCTCAGAATCAACGAAACACTCACCGTTTGAAACAAATACCAGAAGAACACCCAGAGCAATGGTGTGGGATGACCCGTCGGACTCTGAGTACCCCGGAGTCAGGACGTACCTACAGAAGATCAAACATACCATAATGGAAGCCCACAACAGCATCATCAACGCTAGAGTGAAGCAAACGGTGGACGCTAACAAGAAGCGGTGCCCGAGTCCGTTTGAGCATGGAGACTTGGTGTATATTTCCACCAAGAACCTAAACTTCCCTAAGGGGTTAGCACGCAAACTGTTACCAAAGTACATTGGACCTTACCAAATAATAGAGGACTTTGGGAATAATTCCTATCGCATTGAGCTACCCCCCAGGTTGAAGCAGAGGGGAATACACAATGTGTTTCATGTGTCTTACCTAAGGTTGCACGTCCCGAACGATGACCGAAGGTTCCCAGGATGTTTGGACAACCAGGTCGCTGAGCTTGAAACTCAGGAACGGGAATGGGCCATTGACCGGATTCTATCGCATAAGGGAAGCCGGGCTGACACAATGTTCGAGGTTCAATGGAAGGTGGGAGACGTCATGTGGTTACCTTTCGATCAGGTTGACCACCTTGGCCCTGTGTGACTACCTCGACGTCTTGGGCGTTGACAACATCTCCAACCTAACGGATGGCAACGGGTTGCCTGATCAGCCCTTGGTGAGTCTAGATGTCTCAAACACTGACTCACATGTGTTTTTAGGCACAATGGGCTTGGGCTGGCCTGACCATATAAGCCAGCCCCACCGCCCTTCTTCCCCATCGATTTCTACCTCACAATCTACTCCCTCCACTCGAACCATGTCCTCTACGCCACTACCTACCCCCTTGTTCCGTGCCCAGAACGGGGTCTTCGTCATGGCGGACCGTTACTGCCATGGCGTCTCGCTGGCCATCACCCTCGACCAACTGCATCTGTACCTGCAGTATGACACTGACCTGCACAGTGGGGCTTCTCCCGACACCATCATTACCCCCATCGGCTACGACAACTTCGCCGTTGCCCTTAACTCGAATGCCGGTGCAGGCATCCAAGTTGCCATGGTGCAAGAAGAAGATGAGGGAGTCCGCATCACTGGACGCCCTCCAACCTTAGCTGAACTCGTTGGCCTTGAAGCCACTCGACGAGCAGCACCCACCCCTCGTGACCCTCGGGAAGACACTGGAGGTAAATGGTTAGACTCGCGCTGCACTGAGCTCATGGACCACGCACTGTGGGACAACCTGGAGCAGATTAAGAAACAACATGCTTGGCGCGACAAGAGCGTGGCCGAACGCCAGGCTAAGCGAAAGCGATGGAAGGACGACAAGGCGATGCGCCCTTTTGTGCCCTCCACCTCCCTAATCAATGCTCTCACTGGGCCCTCCGGCCAAAACAATCCCCCCACACCATCCATTCCTCCTCCACCTCCTATCACACCAATCCCAGACCCTCCTGCTCCTCCAGCCAATGACAAGGATGAGGAAATGGGCGATGGCAGTACTGAAGAACGTACCCAGGGGAAGGGCAAGGGCAAGGGACTTGGTCACATCCCGAAGAAGTAAGACGTTGCTGGACGACATCTGGTTGGGGGTATGTGACGTCCGCGTCAGGACTTGACTCTTTCGGGCTTTCGGACTTGGTCAAGGGCCTGGACAGGTTGGTCACTTGTTATCTGAAACCAAGTATCTATCACATGTTTGTCATGAATAATCACAAGCTCCTACTTACAGATAGTATAAAGAGTCGTCGTGTAGCTATCTGTAACGTTGGCATTCTTGAATCTACTTGACTTGTATCTGGTTATTCTTGCGCGTCTTAGTAATCTCTCACTGTGCCATATTCGAAAGCATCTGCTTCTCGTATCTGTCACACTTTTCTCACTTAATTTGTCACTTAATTATGTGAAAAGGACCATTAAGTCATTTGAGTGAAAAAGCACGCGCCACTTAATTAAGCGCACTCCATCTCTGAATTTTCGCTTATTTCACACTTAATTTACTTAAAAAAGCAAATAAAGCAACCTGAAATTGGGCATACATGACAACAACGTAAAATTAAGGAGACTGAAAAGTCAGAACTGGCTGGGAGTTACAGGAAAAAAAAGGGGCATATGATGATGGCGGCAGCAAAAATGATAGAAAATAGCCTATGATTGTGGGAGGACTCAGAGTTCAGCATAGGACAGCGATATTCGTGCGAAGAAAAATCCTGTAGTCATGAATGTCAGTGGGATGAAACCTGAATGATAATCACTTACAAAGCATGGCACGCTCATCGTCCTCGGACTCCTCATCATCAAGCGAGCCATGTGGTGTGTCCATCACGTCGTTTAAGGCAGCACAAGTATGCGCCATCTCTACTGTGGTCTCTACATACCCAGCAGGCTTGCTCGCGATAGACTTAATGAATGAGGTAGTGACTTTAGTCCAGTGAGCCCCTGAAAATAAGAACGGGGCGTTGGTCATCTTCCCAGTAGTTTTGTTGAGGACTTTTGGTAGCTTGAAGGCAAGTTTACCTCGCGACCCAGATGCCAAGACTTGCTTGACTTCCAAATCCTTATCCATGAACAATTTGAAGGCACGCTCAATCCAAAACAATAAGTGCAAATCAAACAGTCTAAAAAATGAAACTTACTGCTGCAGCAGAAAGGGCAATAACACCCAACATCCCACGTGTCGCGAGTGCATGCATATCGAGTCTGGGAACCTCCACATACCCATTGATGGCATTGAGATGCGCTGTGCCTAACAACTGCAAAACGAAGGGAGAACGATATGTTGTGAGGGGACTTGGTGTTTCAGGGTCCTCAAACAAGAATGCATAACCTGCAATCAACAATTTGGCGAGTTGAACCGGATCGCAATCGGAGTTTCATGTCAAGAAGTCCAAGATAATGACTATGCCTGTTGAGCCGAAATTGCTGTGCCATTCGGATATACGCTGTGCAGTCTAATTACAACTATAGTTAGTCAAGCTCGACGGAAAATAATGGACTTACCAGGGAATGTATCACACCACCGTGAACAATGGTAATGTCGAGGTCCTTGTATACCACGTTAAAAATCAGCTGGGCATGAAGGAGAAGGACTTTGTCTGGGATATTCCAGATATCGTCGTAACTCCCAGCCCACAACATGACAGTGGGGAGATATTTCTTTGTCCAGTGTTGGTCCACCTGCATCGTGGCAGGTAAGTCAACATTGTGATAGGAGCTACAAGGTTTCATGTGGTCTGGTGTAGTATCCACGTTCAGCTGGTGTTTGATGGCAGGAGCACCATGGGCACGTGCGGCAGATGGCTTGACTTTGACCTTTTTCTGAGGAGGCAGCTTGCTGTCAGTGACTGAAGCCGCAACAGATACAGATGTCTGTATGAGTGTCAGAATGAATGCTAGTAAGTTCAGTGTCCTTACCGAAGATGTTGTATGCTGAACCTTCTTCTTCACTACCGCAGGTTCGGGCTCAGAAGCGTCCTCAGAAATTTTGATCGCATCTTCAAGATCCGGGCCTTTGATGTCCATGGACCAGTCGGACACCACAGACTCCTTGTTGTCATCTATGAACTCATCCACACAAGCTTTCCGCTTGAGAGGGTTGTCCACCTGTGTAAATGGAGCCTTAGGCTCAAGTGAGTACTGTTCATGTTCTGCGGGCGAAGTCGCAAGATCATCATCTGACTCATGTGCTACTGGAGCTATAGGCTCGTCGAAGTCCGAGTTGTCATCAAATATGGAGGCAACCTGTGAAGCAAATTAGTGGATGGATACTGACACTAATAAACAATAATGGCCGATTACCTTGGATTTCCCTTTGCCTTGTGTGATAGTAGCCTCACACTCCAATGTATCGTCGATGTCATCTTCAAAGCTTCCGATAAGGACTTCTGCATTTGGAATTCGAGCGTTCGCCACAGGCTTCCGAATCAAGATCTGTAGATCAGAAGTCGCCGTAGTGGAGGCAGTGCCTTGTGAGAAAATTGTTGATGGAGGCACTAGAGTTGAACTGGTGCCAGTGGGTGGTGCCTGCGACCTTGGCTCTGATTTTTCGGATGTGATACTTGAAGCCCATTTGGCTATACACCCACCTAAAGCGATTTTCTGGGTGCTCGCTGAAGGTTCAACGATACAGCGAGGCACGAACAATGCTCCTGACTGTATCTATAAATGTTGTAAGGTCGTGCGTTGCCTAGTCTGCTATACTTGAGACGACAAGTGCGTTCGACCCTAAAGGGGAAGCAAGTGCAGCAAGGATCTAGTAGTAGGCGCTGAAGGCACTACTGGTTGGCGAATGCGAAGCGCGGGAATTACGCGCGCATGTATGCAGAAACAAGAGAGAGTAAGAGTGAGTTTGCTTAAGTGATGATAAGACACTAGACAAGAGGTGAGAGATGCAAGCTGCGAGATGTTATATGTGAGGTGCCAAGTAATAGATTTCAACTATGCTCTGCTGGGTAGTAAATGGGTATTGTTGTGGTTCAGTCCTCTGTTGTTCTGGTGCGAGAGTAAGTGAGTAAGTGAGTAATAGTATGTACTGCTGGCGCTTAAGTATGGCGCCTAAGCGCTGTCATGCAGAGCCGAAGCGCTACCGAGTAAGGTATGTAAAGATATATGTAAGTAAGGGTCCATGATAAAAATAAAGATGGAATGATAAGCAAATGTGAGAAATGGAAATATACGCACTAGGGAACTTGGTGGACAGTGGATGGATGCTTCTGGATGGCTGGTGCTATAGGGCACTCAAGCGTGGGAAAGTGCGCGCGCATATACATCGTGAAGTGCGGGAAAGGTACACGTGCAAGTTGCGCGATGCGCGGGAAAGCTGCGCCTCATGTAGGAATGGCTGTAGGAAGCATACAGAGTGATGCTACAAGTTCGTGCTGTATACTCCTTGGTGAAAACTGCAATATTGCACAAGGAGAGGCATGAGTCTCTACATCGCATTGATACCAGAAGTAAGATTAAGGAAATACAACATTGATTCATTGAGGAGCAACATCATGGATGGTGAGAGAAGGAAGCCTTACAGTGTTGGTGTATCTTTTCCATCAGATACACGTGTCATGGCGTTATCACCTTCCACTTTTGATGATGCTTTGCTGATCTTGTTTTGCATGTTGCTGATAGTGTCTCTTATCAACGGCTTTCCACCTTTCTTCATTACCTTCTTCTTCTTTGCTCCTACAGTTTCATCCTCCATGTTCTTGACAGCCTCCTGGTGGCTGTCTGCCTCATCGGCATCCATTAGGCTGTCAGTATGATTATCACCATTCCCTACTACAGGCTTTGTCGTCTTACGAGCCCTTGGCTTAGGCCGAACAGGAGCCACTTTTTTTGTGAGTAATTCCTCCTGCGCCTGTTCCATCTCATTTTGCATACCAGCCAGGCGCTCCAGTCCCTTTTGGGTCTGTGCCTCCTTTGCTTCCTTTGCTTCCTTGAGGGCAAGGTCATCAGTGTTCTTGTGCACCTTGGTACACCTCTTGACCTGCGCATCAAGGACTACCTGGCCAGGCCGGGTGGTTGCATTTGACGGACAGGTGTGACGGGGAGCATTTGCGGTAGACATGACTGAGGAAATGAGGTTGCGACTTGGGAAGGATAAAACTTTGCTGGAGTGAGAAAATAGCAAGGTGGGTTTGAAATACTCGTAAGCCCCCGCCCTCCCCAAACAAGCATTGACACACTAATCGGACCTTGTTACTTAGCATATCGAACTTAGGATTACGCTTTGGTCACCATCCTCTTTCTACGGCTAAGATGCCTACGGGTCCTCGCAGGGACCACAGCGCCCTCCAGATTCCATGTGGTTACCTGCACTGTGAACACTACTTCAAGACTCAGGCAGGGCATAAAAAGCACTGGAATACTTCGCACCCGGTATTCAAACCAGCTTCTCCCACCAGGGCCTTGCATACTGCCATAGTTAAAGATGAGCCTGAAGAACTGCACAACGATTTCCTCGAAGGTCATGATGACTTCCATGCAGGTCACAACGATTTCCCCACAGATTTATCTGTCGTGAGTCAGGCCCTGGATGATCCTGACAATCTGGACGCAAAGTTTTGGGGGCCGAATGATAGTCTATACCACAACTATCACCCAAAACTAAATGGTAAATTTCTCAAAGCTATTTCGACTGCTTGCAACTAATGCGAGTATTTATACAAGCTCGTCCTTGTGACGCGACAGGTCAATTACTTGAAGATGGAGCACCCCCAACACCACCTCCAAGCAGATTGCCTGATGACTGGACTCCATACCGGGATCGTGTTGAGTTTGAGGCTGCAGAATTCCTGTACACTCGCACCCAAATGTCCACCGGGGACATCAACGTCTTACTGGATCTTTGGGCCGCAACCCTCCTGAAACACAACGACAAGCCACCGTTTGTGGACTGTTGTGATTTACATAAGATCATTGACAGTACGCCGGTGGGTGATGTCAAATGGCAATCCTTCCAGGTCCAGTATACGGGGAGAAGCCGGCACACGATGTTCCACCCTGGATGGATCAATCTCATGATGTCTGGTATCGAGACCCCCATGAGGTCATTCGGAACATGTTGGCAAACCCAGATTATGCAACAGAGATGGACTACCAGCCCTACCTCGAGTTCTCAACTGATGACAATACACGTCAATGGCAGGACTTCATGTCTGGTGACTGGGCTTGGAACCAAGCTGTATGTTCTCTTTCCTTGATTTATGCAGTGGCTATTCACACATACAATTTTCGGTAGGATATCATTTCCAAAGATCCAGGTACAACTGGCTCGACCTTTGTGCCAGTTATACTTGGAAGCGACAAGACGACAGTTTCAGTGGCAACTGGTGCTAATGATTACTATCCTCTGTACATATCAATCGGAAATGTTCATAACAATGTCCGACGTGCGCATTGTGATGCTGTTGCCATCATTGGCTTCCTAGCTATGCCAAAAAGTAATTGTCACCCTACCATTATTGTTCTGTGCTAACTACAGTTGAGCAGCTACAAAGGAGCACGCCTCCTGCCCCACATATCAGAAATATTGCCGGCAACTCTTTCATTTGTCTATCTCGAAGATTCTTGAGAACCTAAGGCCTGGCAGGACCAAACCAGAGGTTGTGCGCTTTGGCGATGGGCACTATCGGTGTGTTATCTATGGGCTTGGACCATATATTGCAGATTACAAAGAACAGGTTCTATTAGCATGTATAGTGCGCTCTTGGTGTCCAAGGTATGTTCCTAGGAGTAATTTTAAATACCTTCTGCCTTACTGCTATTACAGGTGTATGTCACACTGCAAAAATTTGGATGCCAAGTCGTTGCATTGTACTCATGACCATACAGAAGCACTCATCGAAGAAGTATCATCTACCGACCTGTGGGACAAATATGGGATCATCCATGACCTCATCATAAGTCACATGTCTTGCAGTACTACGGTTGAAATTTAATTCCTTATAGCCGTTTACAAATGATTTTCCTCGAGCTGATATAAACCAACTTATCGCGCCAGACATCCTACATCAGTTGATTAAAGGATCCTTCAAGGATCATTTAGTTGAGTGGGTTGGAAAATATCTGCTCCATGTGCATGGAAAGAAAGGAGCAGAGAAAATTCAAGACGAGATAGATAGAAGGTACATCCTTTTGTGTTCATTTAGTATTTCAAAGCTTATGCCATTGAAGGATCGCCGTGGTTGCCTCATTCTCAGGTCTTCGACATTTCCCAGAAGGTCGAGGATTCAAACAGTGGACTGGGGATGATTAAAAGCGCTTATGAAGGTAAGTTCAACATTATTTCTAGTACGTTGTGATCGCCAGACTAACAACAATTCAGGTTTATCTACCTGCCATTGAAGGTCATGTCCCAATGGATGTGGTGCGCACATTTCGTGCATTTCTTGAATTCTGTTATCTTGTCTGGCGTAATATCATTACAGAATCTACGCTGGTTCAAATCCAGGATGCCCTCGACCGATTCCATCATTACAGGAAGGTCTTTGAGTCCATAGGCGTTGTACCTACATTCTCCCTCCCTCGACAACATTCTTGTTCCCATTACATCCTCCTTATCCGACTGTTTGGTGCACCCAATGGCCTTTGTTCCTCGATCACTGAGACAAAGCACATCAAAGCCGTCAAGGAACCATGGAGGTGCTCGAGTCGCTACAAAGCCCTCGGCCAAATGCTGGTGACAAACCAGCGTCTCAATAAACTTGCAGCTTCGCGTATTGATTTCAAGAGCAATGGGATGCTGAATGGCACCTGTCTGTCAGAAACGCTTTGGGCATTAAGTGAGTGTTATAGTGCTATCATCTTTATTGTTTGCTTACAACCTATACTAGAGCGTTTGCGGTTAAATAGTATGCCTGACGCCAATCAGCCTGACCAACCCAATGAGAATAACATTACACTACTCCCTGACCTCGACATTACTACGTGGGGTGACAATGAAGAGGGTAAATTATTGATGGCCCAATGGTGGTGCAGGCCCATGTTCAGTTGGCAAAGACACAGCATAAGCCAGCTCATATTTGACATTGAATACCTTATATAATTTTCAACATCGTGCAGAATGCCAACACGCACAAACTATACCTGCTCTATCTGCAGAACTTGCTATCCCCCATCTCCATCTCTATAACATCCTCCGCCAATTTCTATTCGAACAAGTGAACCCAAATGACCAGCGCTCTCCCTCTGAAGTCCCGCTTGCAAGTTGTCTGCGATTTGATGGTAAAATCCAAGTTTTCAACTCTGCTTCTTCGATATTTTATGTGCCCCAGTGACCGTAGTGGGATTGGTGGCATGCGCCAGGAGCATATTCATGCCTGTCCTGTATGGAGAAAAGGAGGCACCCCAGTATGACTGTGTGTTTGTGAACACAGATGCAGGTGTCGAAGGGATGGGAGGCATGGACATAGCTCATGTAATGTGTTTTTTCTCTTTCATATTTGAGGAAGTTTTCATACCCATGCACTGTAGTGCGTTGGTTTGACAAAGCTGACGACGGACCCGACGAGGACACTGGGATGTGGATCGTAAAACCTTCATATGATGATGGCCATTCACCGTCGACTGCGATCATCCATGTTGATTCTATTTACCAGGCCGCACACCTCATCCAATCTATGGAATGCATGCCATCCCACGGGACCCTCAAGCACTATGACTCATATGACGCCTTCTGAGCTTTCTATGTTAACAAGTTTGCAGATCATCATGCATTTGAGATTGCATCCTAGGTAAGACTATTTGACTCTGACTCGTATAATACTAACTTGACGCGGTCAAACAGATAAATGGCCGTTGTAGAGACTCGTGCCTCTCATTGTGCAATATTGCAGTTTTCACTAGGGAGTACATGGCACGAACTTGTAGCAT